GCCATCTTGGCTCCGCCTCCTTAGTTCTAATGTCTAGGACAAAGTAGAACAAGGCTAATCTCTTCCAAATGACAGTGCTTCAAAATTTTCGAAGAGAACTGTTGAGATTCTCCTTAATTTGTCACATTTTCATATCAAACAGCCCAATCAGTGAATCAGCAAGCATTTATTAAACTTATACGTGCCATTTCCTGTGCTAGGCTAGAAAGATACAAAGACAAAAATGAAATAGCTGCTGCTTGTCTTCCAGGAGCTTATATTCTGGGAAGGTTGTTTTTGCACAAATTAGCGTATGCAAATAGATAACAATAATTGTGAAGGTTTTTTGGGGGGGGTACTAAAACCTGAGCAATTAGGAAAGTCTTCATTTAAAAGGTGCTGCTTCAGCCCAGGTTGATCTCTTTATTTTTTTGTATCCCAAGTCTCATTTAATAAATTTGGAATCCTTTCCATAGTCATCTTAATTACAAACTTGACAAACATGCCATCTGCCCTTAATCTTAGTCATTTGTAAAAAATAGTAAAAAGAAGAAGGCCCTGGAGGAATCTTAGAGAACGTTACTAGAATTCAGTATCTGGGTTAATTTTAATCCATTTGTCAAAGTTCTTTAGTTCTGGTGATTCAAACAGTTCTGAGGGCACCTACTTGTTTCATCATTTAGCCCACATCTCTCCAAGTGCGCCACAAAAGATGTACTTCCCTTGCTGAGTAGTATCATGGAAAGAACACTGATTTTGAATTCAGAAGAGCTAGATTTTTATCCTATCCTCTCATTTGCTTCCATAAGACCTTGGGCAATCCATTAAAGTTCTTTTGGACCTCTGCTCCTTATCTGTAAAGTGATAAAAAATCCTTCTTAACTCTAAATCAGTGCTGTTGTCTATGAAATTTGCATGATTTGTCAGTCCAAATAGTTACCATTTCGGAATCGAAAGTGGGGTTTAACATGTACACTTGATGAGTCCAGGCTCATTCACTTGGACACAGTCATGCCTGACTACTTCTACTCTCCAAGTACTCAAAGACCACAACTTTAACAAAGTGGTCAAGAATGTGCCAGAAATCTGTCAAGGTCATTGGCTTAGAGATCTGAATTCTTGGGCTAGTTCTCTTCAGGACATCCCTATTTAGATGTTTTTCCCTTGTCTAAATCAATTTGAAAACAGCGTTACCTTCTAATTTCCAACTTTTTATAGTGATGCTACCCATTAATCTCTTAGTCATTCAGTTCTCTATCATTTATAGTCTTTATTAAATCCATTACCAAGTTTTTTTTCCCCCTAAAATGTCTCAGAGGCATATTTGTTTGGTCTTCCATGAACACTGGCAGCCTGCCAGGCCATGGTTTTTTGTCATTTTTTGCCTGCACTAGTGTAAGGAGTTTAGTATATGTAAAAATTATTAGAACTTCAGTTGAAAATAAAATAGGTGAGGTCACGTAGTGAATTAGGAAGGCAAAAACATTAGTGGAGAGGAGTAAAAAGACCAGTAACTCTGGGAAGATAGCCAGATGAAACAGGTATCTAGATAAATGCCTGTGACTGGGTTAATTCCTGAGAGAATGGATAAATGTTTGGGTAGGAAAAAAAAAGATTGGTTGTTGACATATTATCAAATAAGGCTTTTATATAGCATCCTGTCAAATTTAAAAATTTAAACTTTATAAAATCTAATAAATCCTTCTAATGAGAATAAGTGAAATCTTACCTAGTTTAGTAGATATATCCCATCACAAAAATGCTTATTTTCATTAAAAAAATTAAATTAAATTCTATTTTCTGTTCCAGATTTCCTACCTGTCTTCCTTTCTCCTATCCTTTGAGAAGGCAAGAAAAACAGAACCTATTACATATATGCAGTCATACAAAAGAAATGACCATAATAACCATGTTTCAAAAAAAAAAAAGAAAGAACAAGAAGAGAAAACATGCTTCAATCTGTACTCTGAGGTCATTTCTTCATTGTTTGGAGGTGGACAGCATGTTTCAGGGAATCCTTTGGAACTGTGATTGAGCATTATGTTGCTCAGGCTTTCATAAATCTTTCAAAGTTGATTATTTTAAAAATACCTTTGTTATTATATATGTTTTTCTACTAATTCTGGTCTCTCAATTCTGCATCAGTTTGTACAAGTTTTCCCAGGTTTCTCTGAAACCATCACCTTCATAATTTCTTACAGGAAAGCAATATTCCATCATATTTACATACCATGGCTTGTTCATCCATTCCCCAATTCTTGGCCATCCTCTCAGTTTCCAGTTCTCTGCTACTACCAAAAAAAAAAGCTACTATAAATATTTTTGTTTCTATGATTGCTTTTGCTCTTTCGTTATCTTTTTGGGATATAGACCTAGTATTAGCATCATTGGGTCAAAGCATATGCATAATATTTGGTCATAGTTCCAGATTGCTTTATAGAGTGCTTGGAGTAGTGCAAATTTCCAGTGACAGTTCATTAATGTTCCTGTTTTCCCACAGCTCATCCAACATTTGTCATTTTTGTTTCTGTCCATTCAGTAAATGTATTATTATTATATATATATATTTTTTGGTGAGGCAGTTGGGATTAATTCACTTGCCCAGGGTCACACAGCTACTAAGTATCATGTGAGGATGGATTTGAACAAGAGAGAGAGAGAGAGAGAGTGTGAGTTGAATGAATTGAGATCTGGTATTTGAGAGGTGGGAAGGAGAAGTCCTGAATTCCGTTCCCATTTCTGACACATTCAATATGTTCAATATTCAGTGCAATTCAAGATGCAGGCCCATATGTAAAGGCAAGAGCCTAATTAAAATCATTTACCTGCACATTTACCTGTGACCTGCAGTATTATCTGATCTTGTTACTGCCCCAAGCTTCCACTCTGATTCCAAATTCCTTTCTTTCCCAAACCAAACTGAAGATGTTTCTGATTTAATTTCAGTAATTTGGGATAGGGAATGACTACATAGTCAGGTCAAAACAGCAAGATCTCACATACTTGCATTGTGTTTATATGTTTTACTGACCACTTGCTCCAATTATAGAAATTTGCTATAAAACGATAAAGCAGAGACAATATTTAAACCAAGTATGACAGGATTTTCTGACCACACAGTATCAATTCCACCTCATACCCCAGACTCAGAAATAGCCAGGTGGGTAACATTCCTTTTCAAAGGAACATAATGGGGCAACTGAGCCAGTAGGTTCCCATCTTAGAGTGAGGCTAAAATTGTTCTCTCAGTTTTTCCCAGAGTCAGACCTCCTACCTGTATCACATTCTCTCTAAGTAGCTTGTGTCATTTCTCTCAGATGGTGGATTATTCACTACTGAGTATGGATGGATTGTTATGATCCATCAGACAACTCAAAATAAAATCAGTTATGGTCCTGAGAGCTTTTACCTCAAACAGCAAGTTTCACTAGTTACAACTTAGGAAAAAATTTACCAGGATTTACATCTCAAATTTAAATTTGTCCTGATGTAAAAGCCAATCGTTAGAAATAATTTCTATATACTTCCAAATTCTCAGCAAGCAGAGTTTATTGTTTAGGAACTCCAAAACCCAAACAAGCTTTTTGGCAAGTTTATACGTTAAAACAACAACCAACAATCACACAGTTTTTCGTTAAGTGTTAGACAACTTGTTTTAGCTGTAACCAAATTATGAAAAGTTACTTGACATGACTGATATAGAAGTTTACCAATCTGAAACTTGTAACAAACCCATTACCATCAGGTGACTTCAATTTTGTTGAATGCGTTTCCAAATTATTTACACAGAGAATCAACATCTCATCATTAACATGTTAAAACTGCAACTTTAAAAGTGATCTTACCCAAGTTTGGAGCTGGCCATCCCCCTTCCCTCTCTCCCTAAGGCTGCTGGGGTTTGAGGTGGGGAATAGGGGTGGTGATGAGCAGGATGTGCTGAACCTGGATGATGCTTCCAGGCTTTGTGGGTTTCCCCAGGTCCCAAGGCCATTGTCAGTGGGGCCCATGCTGTAGCTGCTGCCTCTCCTTCCTCCTTCGTTTCACTAGGTTGGGGAGTGTGAATTAGAAGGCGGTGGGCAAAGGTGAAACTCTCTTCTCTTAGTCTGATGATAGGAAACTGAGATAATCGGTGACTGCCCAGAGTAGTTAACTCAACCAATCATCTCAGTTTCCCCACACCATTCCCTAAGATTATAATTTTCAGAGAAGATGCTGCCAATGAAATCTCAGATCAATTATAACATAATATAGATTCACAAAGGATAAACAAATTCATATCTATTATATTTCACTCAACGGATATATTATCATGCTATATATTTTTCTCTAGTGGATACATATATTTTTTTTAATAAGGGTATTTATTTCTTTTATTTTTCTTTGAATTATCTCTTCACTAATGGCAAAATCATATGGTATGAAAAATTGAGCTTATTTCATAGCTTTATAGATCTAGACCTAGAGCACCTCAGAAATGATCTAGTGAATGATTTCATTTTATGGTGATACTGGTTACTTGTCTAATGTCTTATAGCTAGCAGGTGTCAGAGGTGAAATTTGAATTGGGGCTTCTGCCTTCAGAATCAGGGGTTTTTACTGTACAGTATTCAAAAATAATATTTGAAATTTAAAAGAATGCACAAATATTTTAAGCAGTGTTTTCCCACTTAAGAAAATGTGCTTGATAAAATAAATATAGCCAATGCATGAAATATTGCTTTTGCTTTTCTTAATATATTAGGTCTTGTGATAAGATATCATTGTTTTCATGTAGAGGAAAGGTTAATCTTGAGTAACTAATCTGTCATTGACTATACTATTTTTAGTATATATATGGGCATCAAGGTAAATGTTATAAATTCTGTAACATACATCTTTCTTAAAATATAAGATGTTTTTCCTTTTTTGTTGTAATTCATTCACGCATAACTATTTTGAATGGATAATATAGAGTTTTTGAAAAAAAATTAAGCATGTCAAATTTGCAGTATTTTGATCACCTCTTTCTTTCTTTCCTGCAGTGTATCCTATTCGGTACATGTATCAGAAGATTATCCAGGTATAGTGAGATATGTTTATATATCAAATTTTTACTACTCTCACTTGTCTAAAAAGGATTTTTTTGAAGGCTTTGGATGTGGTATCAACATTTTTTGAGTTGTGTTCTGAAATCTGCTGTGGAAGACTCTGAAGGGATAGATGGTTCAATTATTCTGTGAATTGGGTAAACTAAGGTAATAGGAGGTTAATGTAATGAATACATTTAAGCTTTTTGACTGACTTTTAAAAATGTTTTCTTGACCTTGTTTCAGATCAGAACCAATAACTCACAAGTGAAAACTGGCATTTATAGCAAGAAATGAAATCTTCACATTACATTAATATTATATTAAATCTAAAATTCAAGGAGATCCAAAATGGCCTAGAAGCTAGTTTTGGAACATCATTTGGACCTTTATAAAATTCAGTATGTTTACCTGCGTTTAGAAAAGCGATCCTTACTCTGTTCTTTATAATTTCACTGGTTTGTGATCACAAAGGTACGTTTATTGTGACCAAAATTAGAGTTCAGCCATAAACAGATTCCACTATGGACAAAAAAAGAGCAAAAAAAAAGGTGGGGGGAGAAGGGGTGGAGGAAAGAAAAAAGTACGTTTATCTATTTCCTATTAAGAGTGTGACATTGTTTCCTTTTGAGGCAAAATAATTACTTCTGTGCTGTGATCATATGAGTAATTTCCATTTTTTCATAAGAGAGGTTATGAATCTTTTTTATCTTCTTTATATCTCCTGTCTATAAACCAAAATATCTCACATGAATTATGAGGTATGCTGCATTTAATATAGAACTATCAGGGACCTTTGTCTTTTTGTTTGCCTCCACTTGTATCTGTTGTATTAAAAAAAGATGAGCCATTTTTTTGTTCCATTTCTCTTTAAGGTCACTGTTTTATCATACCATTACTTCTGTTTAATCTACTTGGTTGTTACCCTATTCCTACTGACTCTCTTTCCCTCCTCAAGCCGTTCTTTCTACTGCTGACTTTAAATGGTGATTGATTTTCCAGGGTGAAAAAAGTGAATAACTTGAGTCCGTGGCTTACTTTAACCTTCAAGAAAGAATAGAAGAATAGGATTTGATCAGCTCATACCAATAACCTGTTCAATAATTTGCCTACATTTTTGTTACATTGTTATAATCACACAGATATGAGAGTTGATGGACAAAATACATTGTCAACAGGTCCCATTGACATTCAAATATAACATTTCAGAAAGAACAAACTTAAGCCTGTATGTCATATGATTATTACACGTATTTTCCACTGGGGAAAATCTATAAATTGCTTCATTCTATTCTAATTATATGTCTTATTGAATATAAAATACGATTTCCTTTATAATCAAGGAATACAATAAATATTTTCTTGGTAATACTCAACAGTGTTCACTAGAAAGTCATTGTTCTTTAATTCATTTTTAATGGAGAACAGAATTAATAAACAACCCCCCCACATACCTATTTAACATTAGTTATTTTGAGTTCTGAATTTTTTCCCTTCCTGTAGCTCCTTGCCCACCCACTCAGAAAGCAAATAATATGGTATCTGTTATACAGATGAAGTCATACAAAACATTTCCATATTAGTCTTGTTATTGAAACAAAAAGACAAAAAAAAAAGTAAAAAATATTCTTCAGTATGCATACAGAGTTTATTAGTTCTGTCTCTCAAAATGGACAGCATTTTTCATCATTAAGTCCTTTGGAATTTTCTTGAATCATTGTATTGATCAGAAGAGCTAAGTCTTTCATAGTGTATCATCATTTCAATATTACTGTTACTGTGTACAGTATTCTTTTGGTTCTGCTCACAGTTTTGCATCAGTTCGTTTAAGCCTTCCCAGGTTTTTCTGATCTCATTCCCTTTATCATTTCTTATAGAATGATAGTGTTAGAAAAATCCGAAACAAAAAGCTACTACAGTGAGTGAGTGAAGGAAAGCCTTTATTACACTTCTTATGAGAGAAGCGGGCACAACGCATTGTAGTAGCACATGGACGCTGGTTCAGTGGTAGGATCAACTTTTAAACTTTTTTTTAGTAAGATTCATACGCCACCCATCAGGGCTACTATTGGTCTGGTTCGCCTGAGTTACACTCTTCCTGGACAGTTCATGGCTTGTTTGTCCATGTTCTGTTAACTCTGCCTACTTCATGGGTCCCATGTTCAAAAATGGTGGCTATCTCCGCTTTTGGGGTGTGTCAGTTAATATTCAGTAAGCTTATTAGGCGAGTGCAGTGGAGAAAAGCCTCTGCCCTGTTGAAGCCCCATCCTTGAACCAGATTTAGCCTCCAGGGCTCTTTCTTAAGGAATTAGTTGTTTGCTATACTTTCTGATTGGTTGAGGGACTATCTAGAAGATCTTGGAATTTCTTATCCTGCTGTGGAAGCCGAACCCCCTAAAATCTTTCTTACAATTGTGTACTATCACAGTTGTTCAGCCATTCCTGAACTGATGGTCATCCCCTCAATTTCTAATCCTTTGTTACCACAAAAAGTGCTGCTGTAAATTTTTTTTGTACATATAGTCCTTTTTTTCTTTTTTCTTTGATCTCTTTGGGATATAGATCTAGTAGTGGTATTGCTGAGTCAAAGGGTATACATTTTATAGCCTTTTGGATATAGTTCCAAAATTTATCTCCAGAATGTTTGGACTAGTTCATAATCCCATCAACAATGTATTAGTGTACCAATTTTTTCTACATCCCCTGCAACATTCATCATTTTCCTTTCCTGTTGTGTTAGCTAAACTGATAGGTGTCAGAAGGGACCTCGGTGTTCTTTGAATGTGCATTTATAGTTAGTGACTTAAAGCATTTTTATATGACTGATGAGGTTAGGATCTGGACCCTTTAAAGGAAAAACACTGGACTTTCCCACATGGCCAAATCTCTTGTGTTCACCTGAGGCTATAATCCCATCAACTGGCCTTTCATTGTGGCTATGCCCTATCTCCCAATTCTCTGTTACCCTTAACCTAGACTAGCCCTTCATTGTCTTATCTCTGTATGTACCTCAGCCATTTTCCGCCCTAAATCCTAGCTAGGCTCCATTCTCTCTTGGCCAAGGTCCAAGTCTCTAACATTCTAATACCTTGCAGTCCCCACAGACTACTTGGCCACTTCTAGATCTCTCCCACAGTCTTTCTGTATATAAGATCCATCTTGTCTCCATTAAGGTGCTCAGATTCTTAAAATCTAGCCAATAGATCACTAATGTTTAGACTCCTTAAAAGTCTGCCCAATGTGACAGATGTTCTAATAAACCTTATCTTTGGTTGAAAGAAGGCTTGGGTTGAATTCTTTCAGGCAAGACCCACGTTTCTTGCTGTCGATATTTCAGGGTACCAGCACTCCTAAACCCCTAAACCTCAACATGACTATTGGCAGCTTTGATTTCTTCTGAAAACTGCCCATTCAAGTCTTTTGATCATCAACTGAAAAATGGCTCTTTTTGTAAATTTGGCAGAGTATCCTATATATGAATAAGAAATTAGTCTTTTATCAGTCATTCTATAAAGATTCCTTTTCAGTTTCCTGTTTCCTTCCATTTTTGCCTGAGTTAGTTTTGTTTGTGTATAAGCCTTTTATTTTCATGTAAACAAAATTATCTATTTTACTTTTCATAATCCTCTCTGTCTCTTGTTTAGTTATAAACATTTTCCTTATCCATTAATCTGACAGATATATTTGCCATTCTCCCCTAATTTACTTATCATGTCACCCATGTCTTATATCATTTTGATGTTATTTTTCTGTGTGGTATGAGATGTGGGTCTATGCCTAATTTATACCTAACTGCTTTCAGTTTTCCCAGCAATTTTTGTTTGCTCATTTTTGTACCCTGTTTCTTGGTTTGGGTCTTTATGTTAATGTTGGCCTTTGTTCCTGGCTTGGTGGGGGTAGGGAGGAGTGGGGTAGGGGAGAAGGTGGAAAAGAAGGGGCACTGTCTCAAGCTTTAAGCTTTTTCCAAACAGCTATTTTTAGATCTAATTCTGGGCTTTGTAAGTTTTCTGTGCTTCCAAAGTATGATCTGCAGAGAGGTATGATCACTGTTCTCTTGGTCTGTACTATGGTTCTTACCCAGGAAGGGCCCCTTGGCTCTTCCCGTCCTCTTTTGGGAGTGGAAATGATACTGTTTATCAAAGTTCCTTATCCCTTGGGGTCGGAATTGATACTGTTCCTCAGGACTCCTACTCCCTCTTGCTGGGAAAATGTTCTTTTCTGCCCTTGAAGTATGATCCAGAAGTGGGTATAGGCACCGGAGCTGCCAAACAAAGTCTTGTTTTTCCATCTACTGCTAACACAGGGGTCCCTTTTAATTTCTTCCTGACCACTTGCCAGGTCCCCTTACTGTCTCTGACTTTAAATTTCCTGAAGTTGCTGCTGCTTCTGTCACCACTACTTAGTCTCAACACTGGGACTCACATGGGCTCTGGCCCAATCTCCAGCTCTGTCACAGATCTCTCCTTCCTTTCTTCTAAGTTATCTTGGGCTGGAATAATGTCTATTGGTTCTGCCACTTTGGAAATTGATTTGAGGCATTGTTTTAAAATTGTTTGGAATGGAATACTGGGAGACCTTGTTTGGGTTCTTCTGTACTTCGCCATCTTGGATCTACTTCAAGTATCTCTCTTTTTCTTGTCATATTGCTATAGCTAGCATTTCTAGTACAATGCCGAATAACAGTGGTGATCGTGGCCACCTTTGATCTAATTGGGAAGGTTTCTATTTTATCCCTAGTACAGATAATTACTTTGTGACCACATTTTGGGGTTTTCTTGGCAGATACTGGAGTAATGGTTTGCTATTTCCTTCTCCAGCTTGTTTTACAGATGAGGAAATTGAGGTGACCAGGGTTAAGTGACTTTCCCAGGGTCACACAGCTAGTAAGTGTCTGAGGCTGGATTTGAACTTAGGTCTATTTCTTGACTCCAAGCCCAATGCTCTATATGCTAGCTCCCTCATCTTGGTTTTAAATAGATAGTACTTATCATTT